GAAAATGTTTCCCACTTGAGCCCTGAGCATGGGGGTCCTGTCCTTCCCACAGCAGAAGCTTAGCATCGATGAGGAGATGAACAAAGGGGGACAGTCAGTCTCATTTCCTCCCCTGCATATGCCAGGAGGTAGATCTGTGGCCTAATCACGTTGCTCCGAGCTTCTCAAGCCAGAGAAGGCGCATTTACCTCTGACGTGTGCAGTGCCAAGAAGCCTGCAAAAGCATTTTCCGGGGGCATCCATTGTACTTATAATTTGTGGAAATAATTATTCCTATATTAAAACAAATACAGCTCTGGCTGAGTGGCTCAGTTGGCTGGAGCACTATCTCCATGCACCGAAATGTCGCTGGTTTGATTCCTGGTCAGGGCACATGCCCAGGTTTCAGGTTCGATCCCCAGCCAGGGTGCATGCATGAGGCAGCCAACCTTACGTCGATGTTTCTCTCTCTCTCTTCCTCTCTCTCTAAAATCAATAAAAACATTTTTAAAAGACAAATGCAAATACAGCAGTTTCATGGAGCAAAATACAAAATTCCCATGGATTTTCATAATCAAACACAAGACTTTTAAAGGAATGTCACGCACATGGCAGAACAATTCAGGCCATTGCCCCATAATCCAGATTGCACAAAATCTCTTCTAACTTTTCAGTAGGCAAGTTTGACAAGCGGGGAAAAAAAAAGTTTTAATGCAGAGCCAGCCTCTGTGGGCCCGAGGACAAGCATGGAGCCTGGGTGCCACCCCGTGTTCACTTCGGATATGACAGCCAGCTCCACACCGCTTAGTAAAGGTGTCAGATTCAAGTACCGGCAGGTGGGGACTGCCTTGGGCGGTGCTTCCTGGGTAGATGACCTCCTCCACCCTCCCCACCAACCTGTTTCGGCAGCTGGGACCCCTTTGTTAATGAGCTTATTTGGGTGAGGTGGAGCCTCCCCCTAGTCTGGTCTCAATAGCACCTGAGGGCTTGTTAACCCCAGATTCACTCCCTGGAGATTCTGAGCCAGGAGCCCTCAGGCAGAGCAGAGGTCTCGGTTTTCCACCAGTTTCCCAGGCAGGGAATGAACACAGTGGGTTGAACCTGCACTTGAATCACCTGGGGTAGATTTTAAACCTTACAGATACACCTAGAATAAGGCCCGGGCCTCAGCACCTTTAAATAGTTGCCCAGGTGACCTTAATGTGCAGGATGGACTGAGAAACACTGGAATGAAGCTGTGTGTCATCATGAATTTCCTAATAAAATGCCAGTGTCCTTGGGAGGGATGCCCAGCTCTTAACATGGCTCCTTGGTCAGGTGACCAACCCTTCCAGTCATCCTGGGACCGAGGTGTTCTGGGATGTGGAGGTTGCTGCATAGACCGATCCTGTACTTGGTAATTTTGCCTTGCTCCTGTGGGTTGTGTCAGGACACCCTACATGTCCCGGGTGAAAAAGGGGAAGGGATTAAGAAATACAGATTGGTAGTTACAGAACAGTCACGGGGATGTGAAGTATAGCATAGGGAATACAGTCAGTAACATTGCAGTAATTGTGTATGATGCCCACTTCATACATAGGAATCACTTCATAAGTTATATAAATGTCTAACCACTATGCAATCACCTGAAACTAACACAATATTAAATGTCAACTGTAATTTAAAATATTTTTTTTTAAATAAATTACAAAAATACTGCAATTAGAGCTATTTTCTGCCACAGTAATCAGCAGAATCAATCAGCTGAATTGCAACACTAGGAATGCAGGGCTTGAGTGCTCAAACTAGGAATATCCCAGGAAAACCAAGACAAGCCCTGTGCACTTTGACTTAGAATGCAGTGGTGTCAGAAGCTTACCTGCAGCTGGCTCTCAGGGACACTTTTTCCAGCATTGTAAGCCTACATTGCACCCTTGTACACTATGGTTTGCTTTAGGGACCTGTGCCACGTCAGAGCCCATACAAAGGTCCCTGGTAGTGAAATGAAGTTTCCAGCCTACAGAGCTGGCACCTGCAGAGATGTCCTCATGGGCCTTGATGATTCCACAGGACAGAGAAAAGGCAGCTGGAGAGGAAATCTTAGTGAATATCTGGTGAGTGATGTGTTTGGCCAGAGCTACCCTGGGAGTCCCTTGCCTAAAGACATGTGAAGAGGGGAGTGTGTGGACAAATGTGCCATCCATGCCTCACTCTCTGGGCTGGAGGAAGTTCCAGGAGAAAGCCTCTGCTTGCTCTGCTCTGGTACATCTGGATGCCCCTCTCTACGGACAGGTGGGTTAAGTCTCAGCACCCCCTCTGCTGTTCAGAACTGAGAATGCAACCCACTAAAATAGGAGGTCTGACTCCAAGACGCAGGTCCAACTGCACCATCTGAGATGACTGCAAGCTGAGGAGAACCCTTTAAAAAGCATCTGAGCCCCGGTCCTGGGGAGGGCGGGGGCGAGGGGACTGTGGCTCGGGGGTGATGAGGACATGAGCACAGATTAGCCACACATCAAATGGGCAAAGGACCTGAATAGACATTTTTCCAAAGAAGATACACAGGAGGCCAACAGGTACCTGAACAGATGTTCAACATTACCAGTCATTAGGAAAATGCAAGTTAACACCACAATGAGATATCCCCTCTTACCTGTTAGAAGGGTATTATCAAAAAGACAAGAGGGGGTGTGGAGAAAAGGGAACCCTTGCGCACTGTTGGTCAGGATGTAAATTGGTACAGCCACAATGACAAACAGTATCAAGGATCCTCAAAAAGTTAAAAACAGAACTACCATATTGTGGATCAAGTGAATACCGAACATGTCTGCGAGTTGCAGGAACAGCACTGTTAACCCCTCATACCTAAAGATAAACTCAAGTTTCAAAGTGAAATTGAACACAATAAGGTGTCTAATTGAATTTCTGTAAAGCACACAAAGGACTTTACAGAAATTCAAAAGATAGCACTGTCGACACCTCCTAACCCAATAACACCTTTTTCCCCTTCAATACCCACATCAAAGATAAATGAAAACTAAATGTTCAATTTATTCAATTTTTCTTTAAAAAAGTAACCATGCCTCCCTTTCAGAGAGCACTCTGCGACACCTCGTGGGCCCCGGGATACCTGGGTCTGGCGGCCTCTGGGCTGCACAGGTCATGCAGACAGGCCTCAACACCTCAGCCTTGCTGGGTGCTGCTCTCCACCTGCGCCTGGGCTTCTCAGAGAAGTATGCTCAGGCTGCTCCTGCACGCGAGGGAGCAACTGAAAACTCAGTACGGCTGCTGCTACGAAAAGAACTGCCACTGCTGGGGTGAACACACATGCCAGTGACGCTCACAGGAAGTAAACAGGACACCGATAGGAAGCAGGCAGGAAACGGAAACAGACAGGACACAGGAAGCAGACAGAAAGAGCTCCTTTCTCCTCCAGCCTGCCAGGCTCCCTGAGGGCCCCTAGTGACCTAGGCCAAGCCAGCTGGCCAAGTTGAAATTCAGTGGGCAGCATCCCAGTGCCAGCATCCATTAGCAGGTATGGAAGGGTGGGTTTGAAGCTGAGAGACAGTAACTGACCTGGCACAGTCCATCTCAGGCTACTCAGAGACCATGCACATTGCTCTACACATTTATGAACCTCCACAGAGCAAAACAAGTCCACATCCCCAGCAAATAAGGTACAAATATCCTTCATACAAAAGATGTTCACTCCCTCATCCCAAAATGAGGACTTACGAAGTCCCACGGTCATAGTAGACCTATCCCTGAGTTGTGTGAATTGCTGCTCAGATTCAGTCACAGTCCCATCTGAATATCCTGCTATCTAAAGGCTAAATTGTAAAAGTAACCTCCAGGGTAGGTACACCACCACCGGTCATTTACAAGCCAGGTGGTGGGCCAGGGGTAAACTTGGGCCAGGTCAGGTGCCTCAGCCCCACCACAGGAACCCACCTTGGGAAGGAACTGAAAATGGCATCACACAGTGGGAGGCCTGAGCTTTGTAGCCAAAGCCATCTCACAGCCAGACTCCCATGCTCCAAGAAATTTCCTCTTCCCCACCAGGGAGGAGAGACTCCCAGGGAAGCCAGCTACCCTTTGAGAACAAGGGATCGAGGGCACTTCTAAGCAGCCAGAAGACACTACAATCACAGACTATATTTAACCTGCAACTGGTAACTACCTAAGGCCCACCTCCCGTGACATTCCCTTGATCAAGCTCTAGAGCAAAGTTCCCTTCCAATGTAAAGCTGGGCTTCCCCATGGCCACCTCCCACCCTCGCCTCATTCCTCCACCAATATTGCTGGGAGACCCCTTTGCACCAGATCCTCTGTTCTTACCACATAGCACGTTTCAGGATTGCTTCTGCTTCTCCATACAGGATCTCCAGGGAGGAGCAAAGAGAACTGGGGTTAGAACAGGGCAGGAGAGCAGGAGAGCGGGATGAGGACCCTACAGGAAGCTTGCCAAGGACCAGGATAACGCTTCATAAATCATTGCCTGGCATTGGCTTTGTTGTAGCTTTTGGGATCAAAGGCTGAGTAACCAAGGAACTGAGCACACCATCAGCAGGTGGAGGAAATGAGTCTACCACTGAGATCTCCTGCCCACCACCCCAGGCTCATGGCCCACCCACTCCAACTAACACTGATAATTACAAGGGGGAGCCAGTCCCAGAAGAAAAGTGGACACGGTGATTTCTGTTGGTCTGGCTACTATAAAGAAATTTTACAAAAATTTCATCATACACCTAATTAAAACATCCCACACAAGAGGACTCTATATATTTTTAGTTGGGGGGGGGGTTTCTGGTTGTTAAACCAAGTCAGAATCACATTTAATAAGTGCTGGGAAGAGAACATTTGGGTGGGTACAGGCATCATTCACGCATTACTTTTAGTTTTTATATGATGTTCCTGTATAGTTTATTTTTGCTGCTTCATTTATACCCAAAATAGTTACTTCAGACACTTGGGAGAAACCTATTGTGTTACAAATAACAGACAATTTCATTCAGTTATCATCAAGGAATCAATCACAAGGATTTCAAGTAAACTGTTCATTTATTAGCATTGGTATTGCAACATAACAGTTTCCAGTGAATATGCTGAACTGCAAGAAATGAAAGAACATGGTAAGGTTCAGGTACGTGAATGGTGGGTTCTTATTTCTTCCACTCGTTCTTGTCGTAGTCCCACTTGGCAGAGAAGCCCTGGATCGGGCTGACCTTCATGTCGAGCATCCTCTTGGTCTGCTTGGCCACCCACTCCTCATCAAAGGTGTGCGGGATGGGGCCATACACTACAGTCCAAAACAACTTCATGAATCAACATTGTCTTAACTAGTTGTTTCTAAGGCAATGCACTATATGGGTTAAGTCTGCCACAACAGTGTAGCAAGTAGGTCAGTGAGGTCATCTGCCACTTAATACCAATGCCCAGGAAAATGCTCTGGTTTTGAATTCTGGGCTCTGACAACTTCTGATAGTTTCAAATTATTCCTCTGGTTGTAAGTTATCAATTAAACACTTAAGCTAAAATTATAATGTCTTCTCTATAGGACATTGATAATAGGGTCTACAGAGTAGCATAGAGCATAAACAGAGCCAAAGGTGACTTGGGCACAGGTCTGTCAACCCATGTCCAAAGTCAAACTACAAGTACAGGATTATACCTACTCGGAATGGGAAAATACCTATTTTGCCTGGACAAAAAGAACACAGGAGAGCAGCACTAAATGAGCAGACAACCACAACACTAAGAAACTATTAGGTCTTCAGACCCAAAGTTCTAGTTATTGAGATGCAGTCCCTAAACAGCTGAAAAAGCCCTTCATTGAGTAAGTTTTCTTCTCATTGATTGAACCTTCATTACATCATATTCTGATAACTGGTGAGCAGACAAATACCTACTGAAAATGTGTGCTGTACAAAGTAGGTAAGTAGTTCACTACCAAGCAGGTATGGCCCACCATGAATGAGGTTCTGGCTTATACAACTTTAGTTCACACAAGCCAGTTTCACAAACATGATCAACAATCCCAGGATGGACCCTAAAATGGAAGTCCCTATCTTGTGTGAAGGTGCCCCCAAGCCCACTCCTGGGAACTGAAAGCCAAAGCCATGCTGGCAAACTCCAGCTCTTGTGTTGCTGGGGGATTTTCATCTGAACCACTCCAGGCACACAGCCCCTTCTTTCCTCTCTACTCACCAAAGCGTTTCTCCCAGATCAGAATGAGAGCAGTGAAGCCGATGAAGAACATGGCCGCACCCACAACTGTCTTCCACTCATTCGTGCTCCTGTTCATTTCAGCAAAGCTCTCGTTGAACTTAATGCGATACACTGGGAGCAGAGAGAAGAGTCGTTTGTAGGCATAAGGCGCTATGGGGACCAACCACTCCCTCGTCCTCAGTGCTCCACCATTTCTCCCCACAACACAGTGACGGATAAACATGGAGCTGAGAAATACAACAGAAAGGCCTGAGGCTGTAACATGCTCATGCACATGCATACAAGCTCTCACACATGCACATAAGGGGTGAAGGGGGGGAAGAAAATGCATGCAGTTTGCTTTGGGTAAAAAAAAAAAAAAAAAAAATTAAAACAGAAATTCCTCTAGAGATTATAGTATAAGGGTCAATTTAATCATATTATTTTCATTCCCCTTTCCTACCTGACAATGTTTTGCTGATTTTCCATCAACAATTTATAGTAAACCCAGTCCCACCCAGCAGAGGCACTAAGACACTGCATCCACATGCTACACACTCGAAATGACCCAAACTCAGCTGCTCTGCATCCACGTTCATGCTTCTCCCCAGGGGCCTGAGCCCCATAAGCACAAAGGAGCCTGGGCAGAGGTCCTGCCAGCCAGCAGAGCACAGAAACTGGGCCTTAGAGCCCAGAAACACACCACACTGAACCTCCAGTGTATGCTGGTCTCCGGGCAGTACCCTAGCCCTCATAGTAAAAATTCTGTCATACAGTGTGCCTCACTTCCTTTCAATACCCACATTCAACTTTTTCATCAACTGACAGACTGTTCCAGGGGTTCTTCTCCTTCTCTTTCAAAGCCTTCTGGCTGGCAGAAAGGTTCTTGACGTGGGCCACATCGGGCAAGGGATAGTCACGTCTATCGACATAACTCGGGAGGGCATAGTCTTCACTCTTCACAACACTCCCTAAAAACAAATTGGATAGATATTTGAAAATTCACTTAAGTTCAGAGTTACAAACAAGGTGGTACTTTCTAAAAACCAAGATTAGCACATATATGCAAACCCTGAAAACCTGTCAACCCAGGGGGCTGCAACCACTGTTTCAAACAACTGAAGGACTAGCATGTGGAACAGGAAGCAGGCTTGTCCTGAGTGGCCCAGACAGCAAAATGAGGAGAGTAGGTAAACAGTTAACAGTAGCAGTTTTCATCACAGCAAAACAGAAACCTACCAGGAGCAACTGCTCAAAGGCAGCACTTCTTGCAACTAACAGTATTCACCAGATGTCTACCAAGCACCTGCTATATGTTAAGCATGTTTCTAGACATCTGAAATCATCAGTGAACAAAGCAAAGATTCCCACCTACTGGTGACTACATGCTCAAAGTGGGAAACAAACAACGAACATTAACAGATGTGTAAATTACAGAGCATGTTAGGAAATAAGTACTCTGGAAAAGAAAGAGCAGAAAAAGGGAATCGGGGGGATATATGTATGGCAGGAGACAACTTACAACAGTAAAGAGAAGGAGATCCATGTGTTCAAAATGGAAAAACAATCGTGTACTCACCAAGTCACAGAACAATACAGGGTTGTTTTGTTTTTCTTTTTAGAAATGTAAATCATGTATATGTATATGTATCTGTATGTGTATATATAGGTATATATATAGATATATGTGTAAGTGTGTATATATCTATACATACATACACATATACATACACACACACACTCACATAAAGACAGAACACTCCTGGCAAAGTAAACTCAAGCTGCTAACCAGGGAAGAGGAGGGGACAAAATGGAGACTTCTGTTCAAATAGGTAGAAATTTTAGTTCCTTAAAATGAGCATGTACCCATGTATTACTCAAGAGGAAAAAAGTTCAGACAGCAGAAAAGGGCTATTTTAGTTTTTATTTAGGGTTTTCCCACTGCTAAAAGCTGTCTTTTCAAGCAAAAAAGCCATGTTCCAAATTGATCTAGAGGTATGAAGTCCTGCAAAAAAGTTTTCCTTCCATTAACTTAGTCCCAATGGTTAAAAATCTCTCAAGTCATGTTAACAATAGTGAAATAAAACATTTGGCCTAAAGCAAAGTAGTATGATTTCTCTAGATACTTATCTTTGCCACCCAAATGACTACCAACAGTTATGTATTTATACTCAACCTTCACCAGAAAGGATCTGATCTGAAAATGGCTAGAATTACTTCCCAATTTTACAATGTAAGATTCTATTAAAATGATGAGTGAACTAAAAATAATGGCTATACTCTAGCACTCAGCTTACACGTGAATTATTTAAAAATACGCCTAGTGATGTCATAGCCTTCTAACGTTGTAGCACAATGTGTTACACGTTACGTGTTTGTGGTGATGCTGGTATAAACAAACCTGCGCTGCCAGCCTTATAAAAATACAGCATCAACAATATGTATACTACATAATACTTGAAAGTGACTGTTACTGGCTTATATATTTACTATATCATAATTTTTATCATTATAGTATACTCTTCCTACTTGTAAGTTTTCTGTAAAACAGTATGCCACGCTACATTGGCAGCAGCCTCATACATCTCGTGTTCACCTCTCTTAATTACATCATTTTCTCCTGTGCTTGATTTAATTTCATGTTGTTTTGTTTAGTGACACGCTGGACAGGTTTGTAGCCTACAGCAACAGACTCTGTCACATAGCTTAGGTGTCGGCTATGGCTTAGGTACCTAACTATACATTTGCCAGAATGTATCCCAGTCATTGAGTGGGACACAACTGTAAATGTTCATGACCTTGGAGTACTAAGCATAAAACTGTATTTTCTAGAACAAGAATGGCCAATTTGTGATCTCAAGGCTGCTAGAGGTTCTTCAGCACTTGGGGTCTGATCCCCCAGCAAATGGAGGGGAGTGGGGAGCAAAGGTTAACATACCAAACATTCTTTTTAAAAAGAGAGAAAAAGCAAAGATTTTGCGTTCTAGTGAATGTTTTGTCATTTCTGTCCGAAGCCTGGATGGAATTTTGGCTGAGCCTCTGGGGAATCTGTTGAATCTGAACTCCCCTCGCAATCAGATGTGTCACTACACAAATATCCAAACTGACAATGGCGGCTACCAATGGCACTCCATATTGTGTTACTATTTTTATGTGAATAACCAGTTCATGTAATCACGTATTATTTATACAATTAAAAGTTTTAAAATGGCAAGACTTATCTAATGGACTGTAGTTTTCCTCACCTGTCTACTGTGTGCTAGAGATGCAGCAATAAGGCAGGCACAGCCCCTGGCCTCAAGAAGCTTGCACTCTAGAGGCACAGACAATACTCATACACACACACAAACCCACACTGTATCAGTGCTCTAAAGCAGGGTGATGTAGGACAGAACACCTTTAGAACAGGTGGTCAGGAAAGGCTATAACATAAAATAACATTGTTATAGAGGGAGAGGATTAGAGAGAGGCAACCATCCACAACTCAGGAGCTGCGGCAGGAGGGACCAGCCTAATGTGTATCAGGGACAAAATACTCTACCACTGGAAGCTGGGACCTTGAGCAAACAGGGAGGGCCGGTGGGCTTGTTGGCTTGGGTATGATGTACTGAGATCAGAAAGGCCAGCTCCAGATCTTACTCTAGGCACGAGAAGGCACTACAGGGTTTTAAGAGGGGACGATTTGATTTTACCTCCTCTCCAAAAACAATACCTAAAAGTAAGTCATGGCCAATACCACTATAAGGAGATAGAAGCTGGCGGCTTATAAAAGAGCAGAATGACCAAAGGGACATGAAGGAATTTTGGGGGTGATGGAGATGTTGTATGTCCTGACCAGAGTCGTCGTTACACACTGTGTGAGCTTATCAAAATCCTTATTTTACCTTCCATAAATTATACCTCAAACAAACTAAACCAACAAAAAGCTATCAGCAAACCAAAATGGAAACAAAATGCGATCTTTGTCGTGACTTCTTAGGGCTTTTAATGAAGGTGTTTCTTTATGTATAAAACAATAAATTTTTCTTTATTACTTGTTTAAATAACATCTCAATAATACTCTTACTAAAATGATCTGTTTTACAGTCTGTATCCACAGTCTTATCCTGGGCAATAAGGAATACTGAGAAATTGAAGACAACAGTATCACTAATTAAAGGGCACAATTTCAAGGAAAAATTCATATATAAAGCAGTTCAGTTAATACAAGTTACTGGTTATTGAGCCCCTAGATACATAAACGTTGCTTTCCAAGTTCATCATCCACCACTCAAGCCTTGCACTTGACCCATTAGAACACATCTTGCCATGCTGATTCACCACTCCCCTCTTGAATGTGAAGTTAAACCTACTAGTCTTTCAGCAAAGCAAAGCCTCTCCTCCAGAAGCTTCCTCTGAACTCCAAGTCAGGCTAAATGCTTCTCCTCAGGGGCCATCTGTTACTGGAACACTGTCTTCATGTATCTGTCCTTCTCCAGATCGCAAAATTCTTGTGGAAAGATTCCACACTTCATATCATTTTTACTCTCAGTGTCTGGTACAAAGAAGATGCTTGATATGTGCAAAACTAACCTTGCTATGTGCCAAGCACTGAACTAAGCTCTTTACATATATTTTGGGTAAGAAAACAGATCCCTAAACTTAAGTAGCTAGTCTAAAAGTAAAATGAGATTAAACCCAGCTCAGGTTAGGAAGCCCAAGCTCTTTCCCTTCCATTGCCCCAATAATGTAAACAGTATTAAAGGTAAGTGGTTGAAAGTTTTTTGTAGGGGGAGATGATCATTAAAATGAGGTACAGTGGAGAAGAACTCTTGAAAGGGGTGAAACCTGAACTTGAAAAAATGAAAGAGGAAGGAAAAAGAAGAAAATGTCAGTATAAGCAAAGATCCAGGAGTAGTATTCAATGATTCATAAATAATCTTTAATCTAGAACTAAGTATCCCCTGTTAAAATATTTATCCCTCTCCTCAAGTCCCTCAACAGCAGGATCTTAGCCATCTGTGTTTGAAATTCCAGCACAGGGCCTTACACACAGAGAGAGCAAAATGAAATTGGCTCAGCCTATTTAAAAGTAAAAAAAGTTAACTTACCATGTGCTCGTACACACACCGAGGTGGAAATTGCTCGCTTGCCAATTAGGCTAAATACTCTGGTAGTCAACATTCTGAAAGACAAAAATGTACACCTTCTCTATGAATGAGGGCAAACACCCATTAGGCACAGTTCTTCATTTTGCCCCGGTGCATTGTCAAAATCAATGCAAGTCTTTTGTTTTCTTCTCCTCAACATAAATGATCCATTCACTGACTCTGAATTCGCAAAATAACCTAGAATAAGGTTTTTCTTAGTAGTGAGCATGTCTTTATAGAACTTCATTATTGACCTAGTGCCATAATATATACACAATTCAGGCAATTAGTAGAAAACTGGCTTCCTTAAAAAACAAGAAGAAAGCCAGCCGGGCGTGGCTCAGTGGTTAAGTGTTGACCTAGGATCCAGGCGATCAAGGTTCGATTCCCGGTCAGGGCACATGCCCAGGTTGCGGGCTGCAGCCAATCAATGGTTCTCTCATCATTGATGTTTCTATCTCTCTCTCTCGCTCTCCCTTCCTCTCTCTGAAATCAATAAAAATATAAAAATTAAAAAAAAAACAAGAAGAAAAAAATTATAGTAAGGAGGCTGAGAAAGCTAGAAACAGTAAAGCTCTGTGGTGCCATGATGGGCTCCACTGTTTGGACGGAAAAGATAAGGAATGACTCAGAGTATTTATTGTAGCATGCGCTGCCTTCCACTTAGTATTTAAGAAGGGGAAATCAAGGAGAAAGGCTGCAAACACGTCCCTGGTTCAATTCCAATCCCTGCAGAAAACGGGTGACCTGGATGACCCACGCCTCACCTGGGCCCTTCCTGATGCAGGCCCATCTCCCCTACCTACTACTCCTTTAAAACTGGACCTTTCCGGGGGCTGTGGACGGTGGACAGGCTCCCCAACACATTCAGAAAACACCCCAATTGGAGCCAAATAAGCATGACGTCAGAGCTGAACTCCCTCCAGTCTCGCTTCTATTCTCCCCCAGCCCGGCCCGCGCGAGGGTGGACACTGAGCGCCTTCCAGGCAGGGAAGCAGAGCGCCTCTACCCGAGCCCCGTTAAGCCCGGGGAGGTCGCTCAGACATCGTTTGAAAGGATCAGAGCAGAGGCTGCAACGCAGGCCCAGGGGCCGCTCCCGGAAGGCCAGCAGGGCGACCTGCCCCTTGGGTCCGCGCCCTCGTCTAGCGGGCGCTCCAAGGTCAGAGCCCGAAGCCAGCCCGCGGGCAGGGCAGGGCAGAAGGAGCCGGCCCGGATGCTTCTGGGCCGCACCTAAGACGCGACCCGGCGGACCCAGAGTCTGGAGCCCGGCGCTCCAGCCTCAATGTCACCGGGTCTGAGGGCCAAACGCCGCTTCCTGCTGGCGCCGGGCCGCCGGGGCCGCGGACATTCAGGCCCGATGGTTTCCGGTCCCCGATCCTCCCCGGCTCCCCGGGAGCGCGGGCTGGCCACCGCTCGCCTCACCTGCCGCCGCCCAGCCGCAGCCCACCGTGCCCACCGCGACCGCTCTCTACACCCGGGTTGCTCGAGACCGGAAGAGAGCGAGGCTGTGCCGCAGAGGACCACGGGATCGCGGAGGACTCCACCTCGCGCCCGGCCGCGGTAGAGGTCACTGGAGAGGAAGGAGGAAAACGCCACGAACGTCGTAAAACGCCGGGCTGGGCTGCTTTCCGGCGGGCACTGAGGGACCGCTTTCCGGCGGCGCCCGGCGAGTTGCGGGAGCGGAGTCTGAGGGACGCGCGTCGACTTCCTCGTCCTGGAGTCGGTGTCCAAGGAACACTAGCCCGAAGTGGGGGTCGGCCTGCGGGGGCGTCCGCCAGTGGCCGTGCCGCTCCAAGCAGTTTCCGCCTCGTCGCACTTCTCCGCTGAGGCGCCGCGCGGCCAGGCAGCGGATCCAGGCCTCAGCCGGGCCCGGGGCCTCCGGGGCTCTCCCGGGCTCAGCATGCCCGGGGTGAAGCTGACCACCCAGGCCTACTGCAAAATGGTGCTTCATGGAGCCAAGTACCCTCACTGTGCCGTCAATGGACTGCTGGTGGCTGAGAAGCAGAAGTCGCGCAAGGAGCACCTGCCGCTGGGCGGCCCGGGCGCCCACCACACTCTCTTCGTGGACTGTATTCCCCTGTTCCACGGCACCCTGGCCCTCGCCCCCATGCTGGAGGTGGCCCTCACCCTGGTAAGCGTGGGAACAGCGCCTGGCCGCCCCTCGGAGGTTGGCTTGCAGTCGGCTTCCACGCAGTCCCAGCTGGAAGCTGAGCGGTGTCGGGCGGGAGTCTAGAACCCACCCTCTGAGGTCGCCGTGACGGGGAACGGGGTGACCCGCGGGAGCGCGTAGCATGTTTGCCCGGCACTTAGGAATTGCCGCTCAGATGGCAGCTTGTAGTCGCAGCGGCCCAAGGAACCACCTTAACCTTCGTGGGTGTTTTTTAAAGGCGCTTTAGGCGACGAGTAATACATTAGTTTCCTGAAAACAGGAGCCTTTATAGAAGCAAACTGTCATTAACTGGGTAATGATTCGAACGCGTTTTTACATTGGGGATTTTGAGTCGCGGGGGAAGTTTTGATGCGTTGTGACCTAAAGGCTGGAGTTTGGTTCGTGCGCACCTTCACAGAGCCGGCTCCCTATCTGACGTGGGTGTAAACGCTGTGGTCCTTTTGATGGTGGTACTCCGGAATCCCAGAGTTGAGACACGTTTTAAAGAGGCGGCGGTGACATCACAGTCACTGCTTCCCCTGAGTGTGTGCGACCGACGTGTCAGGAGAATGTATCTGTTGCCGTCAGTGACTTCCCTAGCATGGTTTTAAAAGCTGGAAGATTTTGTGAAATTAAAAAGCGGGAGCAGTCGTACTTCCTACCCACTAGGCTTATTATGTGTCTGCTTGCAATGACTGCTTTATTGGAGCACATGGGGAAGACTTAGGCCACAGATAAATTGGGTGGTCATTGAATTCTAGGCAGTAGTTTTAGGGGTAGCAAGATCAATAGAGGAAAAAAGACCACCTGTAAATTCCAGTGAATTGTTAAAAAAAAAACCTTAGAAATAAACTAGCCTCAGACCTGTGTCAGTACCTGAGCTTAGGTACTGTGTATTTTTCTTTTAAGGATAAACTATGACTAAAAGCGTATTTAATTCATGTGGAAAGTAGTTAAGCTTGAGATGGTGTGGGTAGAAATCCTTTCTCTATACATTCCATCAAGTAAAATGAGTCCATTTCATAATTTACCTGATTATGACACCCATGTAAATTGGTAAGCAGGAAGTACCTTTGGGCAAATGGTCCGGGCCCAAGGTTACTGGGCACATCTTTGAGTGCCTATTAAACTATCACTGTGTGAATTTCTTCATATCATCTCTGAGCAGGAGATAGATAAGAAGTAGATGATATTTATAAAACCAACCATTTTAGCTTCTGAGGAAATGTACTGTCAGTACCAGAACATCACTGGGGTGTGCATGTGTATGTTTTAGTGCCAGTGTTTTCAACCAGCTGTCTTAATTATTCTGTCATCAAGGGAATTGCAGGCTGATTGGATGTATAGTGCATTCACTAGCAGGGAACTAGATTTACCAGTTGGATTAATGCAGGATTATTTATTTCTCCAATAGTGCCGGGCCTCTGATGGAGGGATATGGCTGAGGATCAAACACAGTACTTGCTTAGCAGCTGAACTTGAACCAAGCAGACAAGTACAGTATCTAAGAATAAGTGTCATATGTAGGGTTAAGCAGAAAGTGGTGAGGGTTCCAAGAGAAGAGTCAGCTCACCCAGGCTTGCAGAGTTAGGAAAGGCAGGCTGCCCAGAGAAAGGGACATGCAAGTAGTGGCCCAGTGGGCCAGCCGTAGTAACCTGAGGCACAGAGGGAGAACATTCAAGGCAGAGGGACCAGCATGTGCAAAGACCAGGAGAAGACTGGGGGTGGAGGAAGAGCTAGAGTGTAAAGGGGCCAGGTGTAGAGAAGTGAGCTGTAGACAGATATTGTAGAGGACCTTGCAGATCACACAAAGGAGTTTGGGCACCATCATGAAGACAGAGGGAAGCCACTGGAGGAGAGTTTCATGGTCAGACTTTTGTCTTAGAGTGATGGTTCTAGCCTACAGCAAAGAGAATGTTGGAGATAAAAGTGAATACAAAACTAGATTCAGAGAGGTGGCCTAAACTGAGTGTAGTGCGAATGCAGAGAAGGATCGGGGGAGCCAGGAGGGAGAATCCACAGGACTTAGTGAATGTGGACATGGGGAAAAGGAAGCAAGGGGGAATCCTCAGTTTCTGAGTTACGCATTGGGAGGACATTGGTGCCTTTCATTGAGGGAAAGTGAAGGCAACCCAGGGTGGAAAGTTGAAATGCGTCCGGAGCTCAGAAAATGGATAGGCTGGAGACATAGATTGGAAACCAGGAGCTTCTCAATGACTTTTGAAGCTGTGAGAGCAGGCCGTGTTGGCCAGGACTGTGTGTGGAATGAGGAGAGAGCTATGAACAGAAGCCTGAGGAACTATAGCTTTTACAGGGTAGATGGAAGAACAGAAGTCAGCAGGGTAACTTGGTACCCAGAGGGGTAGGAGGAAAAAGAGTGTTGCTTTAAATCCATATACAGTCTTGTCAGAAATAAATAGATATAGACTTGAACTGCACTTGAATTGTAAAAGTATTACTAATTCTTCTCATTCTTAAGTAACCTTTACAGAGTTAAAAAGTTATGTTTCAGTTTCGAGGTATGAGTGCAATACTTAAGAGAATGAAATATGTATACTAACTATAAACAACAGCATCTGAATCACCTTTACATGAATTTTCCCCGTGGAACAGGGCTGATTCTCAAACCACTTACCTAGGGAGAGAAGATTCCCAGAGGGGACCTTGACTCTTAAGATGGGCCCACTGCCACCAGCTTGTTAAGAGGGAAGGAATACCTGGCCAGTGTGTCTCAGTGGCTAGAGCGTTGGTTGACCTGCTCACCGAAGGGTCGCGGGTTCGATTTTCAGTCAAGGGTGCGTGCCTGGATTGCGGATTCCATCACTGGCAGGTTGGAGCAGGTGCAGGAGGCAACCAGTCGATCACATCGATGTTTCTCCCTGCCACCCTTCCACTCTGTCTTTCTTACCCTGGGTTATTACACTCTGCACTCCAGACTCTCAATTTCCAGCACTTCTCCCTTCATTGTTTGAATCTCCTATCCAGCAAACTTAAGTCCAAACTAGATTATCTGCAGTAACTTTTCAGCAGTAAAAATAGCCGGAGTTCTGTCCTTACCCAAGCAGTGGTGGTTTATGCTGGCTTTTCTTACTTACATTGACCAAAATGTTGAGTCATAGACTCAGTATTTGACAAATGTGAAAAAGATGCCAATCTAGTACAATTAAATAACTTTCAGAGTAAAGTTATCTAATCCAAAAATTTTGTATTACAATTAAGGTACTTAAATTTATATAATTCAGTTTTTGACTTAGCAACTTTGTAACCTGGAGGCAATGAAAGATCTCAGTGCAAGAAGCCAGTTTACCAGTATTTCAGCATGTGGAAGATGTAATTTTAATAAAGCACCTAAGTCCGTGAAACTGTATAAATGAGGCCTTATTCTTGTGGCTTTTTTCTATTTAGAGAGTTTCACATTGTAATTATTTTTGATAAGTAGGAAAGGCTGACTTGATATACAGGCCATCAAGGGGCAACATGAGATTCCTTTAAAAGGCTTTTCATTATACTTTTCCATTTTAGAAAAATCCTTGCATTTCTGGGTGCTTTTTTTAAAAAAATACTTATCCCTGTTATCTTATTTATCCTTATAACCCTTTGACGTAGGTAGTGATGGAATTATTTCTAATAGCAAAAACCCATAAAACGTTAGTAGGGAAATTAGCATAAACCTGCTGTTCTCTGGGCCCTTTTTGTCCCTTCCCCTCTTTGATTTCCTAGTACAGGGGAGCAGCTTTTGATTACATTCTGCTCAGATGACTTTCTCATTTGCCAGTTGGCCTAATCACCGTGATTCTGGTCCAGAATTCTCCCTGCTGCCTCCATATGAGCCGTCTCTGGGCTCATTTGCAGGGGCTGCTGTCCTCTAGCCCTTTCCTAAGCCCCCTATTTCCTTCTGCCCCTTGTTTACCCTGGGAAAGGGAGATTGCTGCTCTGGGTCTTCCTTTCAGTTCTTCCCCCTGACTTCCCCTCTGTCCCCATCCCATTTACCTCCAGAGCTCTTCTTTTATGGATCCAGCTACTTTCTATTCCATAGACAACTCAGCATCCCACTTGGAAAAGCACTTTTCTTCTCAGTGAAACTAACACAACCCCTCTACTTTTAGCTTCCAAGGCCTGCTTGTTGCCACCACCAACCTCAGCTTGTAAGTGGCAAGCCCTCCTCAGAGTGGCTCTCCTATCATTTCCCTGTTTTGCCTACATTATGGCTGTTTTATAGTCATGAGAGGTGGGTAATAGTGCTTTGAAAATTGTAAGGTGCCTCACATATGCAAATATTAGCAAGTTTGCTGAGAGAAACTACTTTTTTTGTGCCTTACCTAATTGAGAATGAATGGGTTGAACCCAGCACCTTTAGTAGTTCTAGTGTCTGGACTGGAATGAGACAAACACCGCATTGAACAGAGATGGTAGCAGGCTTATACCAAGGTTAAAGTGTCCTTCTTTCTCTCTGAAAAGTAAAAGAAAATACATCAATAAATACAGAATTGGGACTCTTGTATTCAGAGCCAGTTTTACTAAGTTGACATCAGGTTTCAGGGTGTTATTATGAACTTTGATTTTCATTTTGATTGTTTACAAAATGCATACAGGAGTATGGAATCGTAGCAGCAAAGCAAGAAAAAAGGAAATGGATTCACTGAGAACAGAGGTCAAATTGCTCCTCAGTTCTTTTGCCTTACCCTACCCCACTTGGGAGGAAGCAAGTTGCTTTTTTAAGTTTTGTTTTATTTTATTTTTTATTGATTTCAGAGAGTGGGAGGGAGAAATAGAAACATCAATGATATGAGAGAATCATCAATCGGCTGCCTCCTGCACGCCTCCTACCAGGGATTGAGCCCACAACCAGAGCATGTGCCCTTACCAGGGATTCAGACCTTGACCTCCAGGTTCATGGGTCGACACTCAACCACTGAGCTGCACTGGCTGGGCTCAAGTTGCATTTACTGAGCAAGCTACCGCTTAAATCCACTAGGATTCTTATTAATGAGCCATTGGGCTTACTGCAGGATTCTGAAGGCCCTGCCTGCCCCCATCCCCACCCGACCCCATGTCCACACTGCTCATCTTCCACACATTGACTTTCGCTTCACACCAAGTCACTCTCACCTAATAATAGCTGGTACCATTTTCAAGACTATCAAAGGAAACTCTACCCCTCTTTTTAAAACTTGATACCGGGCTAGTTGGTTGGCTCAGTTGGTTGAGTGTTGTCCTGTGCACCAAAAGGTTGCCTGTTCGATTCCCTGTCAGGGCACATACCTGGGTTGTGGGTTAGATTTCCAGTCGGGGCATGTACGGAAGGCAACCAATCAATGTTTCTCATTGAAT